ACAATGAAAAACTTGTACAATTTTCCATGACCCATTAATCAAAAGTATTCTTTGATATGCTTAATAAGAAAGCAACTTGTTATTTGCAACATTAAATGCAGTAAAGAATGGAACTAAAACTCCCCAAACCAAAACAACTGATATGTTAAAGTTCGAAATTCCCCGCATATCGTATATATGTTTATATATTAATCACTTTATTAGAAATCGTAACCCCCCAAAGTCATGCAAGACTCTGCAAAATTTCCCCTTGTTGGCAACTTTCCCCATGTATGCACATGAGCTAATTCCAAATAAATAGGAATTATGTCAAATGTTAGTATTGAAATTCCACAACAATAAATAAATCGGAAGTGGGGTATAAGTAGGACCTAAGTCAACTCACAATGCCTTGATAGCACGAACGAAAAACAACAAGTATTACGCCCAGTTAATGGAGTCCAGACATCGATCAAACAACGATGGAGAAACACTCTTACTCCCTAGAATTCGCCAACCAATTGCAGAGGGTTTTCCATGAAAATCACGCGATACTTGTCCACTCACCGCTTGGTTATATTTCATTGGGAAGGATATCCCCATCCTTAAAGCCTGACACGTGCTCAGGGAGTTGCCTTCGTGTTCACATGTACACTGGCTATACGACATTATTGATTTTTCCGGTTGTCGGCTCTTTGAACTTCCTGCGACACGTGTCCTTGACGGCGGGAGGCCAACTAACCCTACAATCTGGCTGTCCCCGGTCAATGTGAAGGTGAATAATGCGATTACCTCAGTGGCACAGATTGTACAAAGGTGTGGAAAGTTTCAAATCAAAATTTAGAACTATCATTTTAGGAACATCAGAAGTTTTTAAACTTAGAACAGTTATTAATTGATACGTATATATATAGTGCTAGTTTCAATATCCTTCTACTTTTCAGTATACTGCGCCTCTGCTTTAAGGACCTTGCCTAGTTTTCGCAGCCATTAAGTCTCGTCTTTCAGTCAAAGTCTGGGTCAAAACGAATTTAAATGAACATTTGACAGAATTGAAAAATTTATTAGCTTTTCTCAAAATTAACAGTTCTCTTCAAACCAAATTGAAAAATTTTCATCAGAATTACATATGTATATGGTATATACGTCACAAAATATTTATAGCTTAAGAAAACATTGATAAAGAATTTAAGAATAAAAATGTGTAATATTATTTATATATATATTGAAACTATATCAGTACGTAAATAATTTTTCCAAAGAATTTATACTAATTATAATCACTGATGGATACATAAACATCAAGTAGTTGTGAGTTATTATTATTATTATTAATGCAGAATAATTTAATAAATTATGAGTTATAATTCATGAACTTTAAAAAATTACTAACATTTTATTAAAACGATTCTTAAAGTCGTTAATTCATTTCCGTAAAGAGTATGTAGACCTGCGAATCCTTGAAACCTTGCAAGGTCTAGTAGAGTGTGCCGGGTTGCGTGCAAATCGCTAGTTAACCTCTTTTGGCCTTGGCCAATTCCGGGTATTTGTTGTGAAATAACCTGGCCTGAGGCTTACTGGGTTTATTTGGGAGTGAGAGGGGGTAAGAAAAATTTTAAGATTTAATTTTCAACTATAGGCCAAGTCCTTTATTGCGACTTAATAACTGTTAATGTGAAGAATGTTAAAAATCGTCTAGTTTCATTTATACTTTCGCATACTTTAAAAAACTTGTACACGTTATAATAGGATTTTTAACGTGGTTTTGACCTGTGAGAGTAGATTTTTAACAACAATTATATACCATTTCTCAGCTTAGAGAGGATTATATTATATATAATATATAATTATATATAATATATTATATTACATAATGACCCTTTTCATTTATAAATTTTTGACTATAACATACCTAGGAATACTGCCCCTATATTTTTATAACGATTAATAAAATGTAAATATTAAAGCCTATAATAATAATCCAATTAATATTATTTTACTTCTTTGATTCTATTGGGAAGACTGAGTCGGTTCAAATGCATACTCTATCAAGTTCAAAATACTAATTAATTTGTAGGAAATAGCTTAAACTATTCTCCTTCTAAAATTTAAAAACTTTAAGCACTTAATGCTCAGAAACACGGATTCCTCTTTTATCCTAAACCTAACAATAAAAATTGCCTGCAGCAAAAGAATGGGCAAATTGCTCGGCAATGCCGCGTACATGGAAGTGTTCTGAACAGCAAATTTTATTACGAAAATCCGAAGCTAAGCTACAAAGTTACTTAACCAAGAAATTTTGAAAGTGGCTGACTCGGGCAACGTCGTCGGCTTCAGCACCGGCACCGCCGCCCGTCCCCGCCCATACGTGTTCCCGGCCGAGACCAAGATCCCGCGGGGCGGAGGGGGCGACGGATGACAAGCGCACGACCGTGCGTCAAACCGCCGGACAACCCGTCGTTGACCGGCGGAAGGCAGCGGAAAGCCGAACCGAACGTGTTGCCACAGCAATGCCAGGCAGAATTACTGGGAAACAAAGTGTGACGGAGGGTCGGCACTGAGCAGATCTGATAAACAGATATGGCTATCTATATATCGATCGATGCACAGAACAATCACAGAATACACTTCCAACAGTTGAGTTCGCGATGCGCTATTTATACTTACCAGTCGTGGAATACGTACTTGGGAATCACAAGAGCACAACCGATGCAGTGCGCCAGTCACTGGCCATGCTGGGGTGGGTTTTGTTTTGTGAAGTCTGGGAACAGGATAGCTGAAAATGCCTGTTAAACGCTTGTTAAAATTTTAAAAATATGCCAAAAGTTGTAAAATAATTTAAAAAAAAATAGAAAAATAAAAAAATGATTTTAAAATGTTATAAAATATTATTTTTCCCACGGGGTCGAACCACCGTCCTTTGGTTACAAAATGAAGTGAGTGGCAGCGCTAACTCACAGAAGCTGCCTTGTATGAGTGTCAGAGCAGCGAGCATTTGACAAGGTCAGATTTAAATATTGAGCTCTTTAGAGAAGTATATTTATTAAAGCAAAAGAGAAATTTTAAATGTAAATAATAAAATGAATAGCACTTTAAAATATATAAGTAAGTGGAAGTCCAAAATAAAAAAATTAACTTACTTACCCTTTCATAGCACCAAATGTATTACAACCCAGGTCATATTTGCTAATTTCTTTATTTTTCACATATTTTGCAATAAGTATTTTTTGTATAATTTATATTCCTCTCTGGGTTTATCCCTTGCACACTCTGTTGCATTTTTCATATGTCCACAGTTACCACATGCAAAGTTAATGCAGTTTGCCGGCAAATTATCGTAAAACTTACATTAAATATCCTTCAAATCTTAAATTCAATTGCTTTTTCTCTTTGTCATATTTATTTTTATATTATTAATTTTTGGGAAATAGAAAACTATTTATTTGTTCTTGTCTTTTACTTTTCTCTGTTCTGCGGTTATCAATAGTCTCTCTAATTGAAGTTATTCTCTTGAGTTATTTATACGATTTATGTATGTAGTTTGCATATTGGCTAATCAATACTTTGGCCAGTTGGATCGATATCGATGTATGAGTTATATGTGATTTCTCGGACTTTTGCTTGGACACGAAACTTAAGGTGAAGTGCATCTTGTTCGTTCGTTATTGGTTCAGTGAGTTGCGTAAATAGACTTTGTATTTTTGTTCGTTCGCAAAAAGGGACGGTAAAAATTACAATAAAATCATTTTGAAATATGTATGCAATTTGTTTTGTTCGCTTTGTTTCTCTCGCCACCATATATGTATCTACTAACTGCCATATTTATGTATATATAAATATATTTACAATTGTTTAGAGCTGTTCGTTCTCCATTAAATAATTGCTATAGGCAACTCCAAGGAGTTTATCTGTGAATGCATGAATGGACGTTGTGGTTGTGTGTGTGTGTGTCTGTGTTTATTAAATATAAATTCAATTTAATGGCTCGGTAATTTACACAATATACGATCTTGTATATATAAAATTTCATGTAGAACATCGATCGATCTCTCCGATTGACAACGAAAACATCGAAAACACAAAAAGAAGCAACAAAGATAGTTAGTTTCTGTTTCTTGGAGGGGTTCGGGGTTGAGTAATTAAAGTACTACTACAGAAAGTGCTCTGGCTGCTGTCACTACTTTCGATTCGTGTTCAATTCGCTACATAATAATATCCTCTATTTAAACTTTAACGCGTTGTCTCGTTATTTTGTATTTTGTTGGCTAAGCTGCTTGGTTAGTTATTCTTATTTAAACAATACATCGTCTTAAGGCTGTTTGACTTCGACAGGCAAACCATAATAATTGAGTGTGTTGCTGAGGGTGTCTTCAGCAACTTCTTAAATAATAAAGAAATAAAAACAAATCAGCATTTACTGGCTAATATTTTTGTGTTTTTTTTTTTTGCAATTTATTAATTGAATTAAATAATAATGCACAAATCATAAGGTATGTCTGCATAATTAACGCTAAATAATCCACAAAAAACTAAGTTTTTCTTCATTGCAAATAATAATTAATTTCCTACAACTTCTTCATTTGAGGACGGTCACAATACCGCTCGATAAATACAAAAATCTTTATCATCGTCATTCAGAATCGTCTTTGAGACGAGTAGCCTGGTTGTTGCTACTCTTAGTTCAATGGCTGAAGACCATCTGTTACATACATATAGGTTATATTACGACCCAGATCGGTCTCTGGTTCTTTACGTACATTAACGGTCTTGGGCCTTGTGAAAATACTCTCGGTTATCGGGGCAGGCAGGCCAATTAATACGTGGTTCAGTTGCCAATATCATCAATATCATGCTAGTTTAACATCTCAACTTATTTATCGTTTTTAGGTTTGTCAATTTTATCGCTTGCGCACAGCGTTGATAACAAAAATCGAAACAATCAACGCGAAGGTTAACAAAACTTGAATCGAACCAAACGTAAGACGTATTTAAAATGCACATCATTTGAATATATAGAAAAATACAATTCGTTACGTTATCATTTAATCTTTTGCTCTTAATCTTGCCATCTTTTGTTTAATTAAATTAATTGGACGTTTAAGTAACTAACCGTGTTAATAACCATTCTAATCGGCTTCCTCGTCTAACACAAACCTTTCATCTAACTAAACTTTCAATAAATACAAATACAATACAAACAAACGTAGTTATAGTAGAGCTGGATAGTTGGATAGAGCCTGGACATGTAGGATATCGCGTGTATCTCCCTCTTTCGCTCCGCAGGAACTCCAACGAATTTACAACTTAAGCAAAGTATAAACCAAAGCTAAAAGTTTACGCTGCACGCTGATCTTATGTTAGAAGGGATTGGTGTTTCCGCTCGCTGGATTCCTGCTCGAAGGACGCGTACTGAACGAGGACTTGCCGCTAGTGCCCCGCTGGGCGGGCATAGGGCGACGCACGTGACGCATTTCACTGTTTTAAAGGGGGAATTGAAATATTTGTTAGTCGTGGATAAGGAACTTTTAAGTTTTTCGATCAAATTTGGTCAGTGAATACTTTAAACAAAACAAATTTGATCGAGTTAACTCAGGTTTATAAATTTCCAATGATTAATCAGCGCAATCAGCGGGTTTTTTATTATTTAGTTAGGCGGATTCCAGCAGCAGGTTAGCGCATGCAAATCATTTGGCAGGCATATATGCAGGTGCTTACCGATTGCTGGAGTCTCTGAGGGTTTGGGGGTATAACAGGGGAGATGAGAAGAGGAACTAAATGGTGCGGTAGGGATGTGAAAGTGTATGTTTTTGTTTGGGGAAGGGAGGGATTCTTGATGATGCAGCTGACTTTTAACGACCCAAGTGCACCCACCGATCCATTTCCATCTCCTCGAGGCGCTGGGTGAGGGCCAGCTTTTGCTGGACAGCCAAGCGTAGCAGCTGGTTGAGCGTTTTCTTCTCCTCCTCAGCAGCCTCCAGCTGGCGATTGAGATCATCCACCTGAGTAACGTACTCCTCGCAGCGAGCGGCAAACATGGCACGCAGACCTACGAATAATTAATCATTTTAAATGTAATTCGCACGAATAGACACCTTCCACTTACTGGAGAAGGTGGCCGCATCTTCCTTGAGCAGTCTAAGCTCATTACGCAGCTTGGACATGGTATCGCTGACGATATCTTCTCGTTCTCGTACTTGGACTTGAGATTGGTGAGAGCCACCTCGGCGGTTTGCTTGTTTGACTTGAGCACGTTGCGCAGCGTTCCGATTTGCTCGCGCTTTACGGACAGCAGGCTCTTCAACTTGACTATCTGCTCCTGCAGCTCCTCCATCTCCTCGGTGTTGACCTTCTCCAAGGCTGCAATTGGATTTAAATGTGATATTAAATAATAAACAATAAGTAATCGTAAATTACTTACCATCGCCACCCTCGGAGCGCACTTTATGCTTGTTCATATCTATGGTATGCTCCACGGCTGTTTTCAGGTGTTTGATCTGATCGCTGACCGTGTCTACGTACTTCTTGATCTCCACGGAATCTGCCAGGCCCTGCAAATCCTCCACGATCTGTGGCTTGGCAATAAAGACATCAGATTTGAACTGCGATTGGATGGCAGTCAGTGAGTCGTTCTCGAAGCTGTAATGAAACATATAAGTTAAGATCAGCTAAACTTTCATATTCTTTCCGTGAAAAGGCGTACCTCATATCGTCGCTCTTGTGATCCAGCAGGACACGTGTTGGAGTTTCCCCGTTGACTGTGCACACCAGATGGTACAGCTGGGCCAGATCGTCGCTTAGAGCCACCAGAGTACTGCGAGCTGAGCCCAGGCTTTGTCCAGCATTTTGTGAGATGTGGGTTAGGGTTGCACATCACTCTGTAGATCCAAGGACTTTTGTTCCGTGGCGAGGAGTTTGTTCTTCAGATTGGTCACCTCGTTGCGCAGCGTGGTTGTGGCATCCGTGTAGTTGAGACCCTTCTGCAGCTCGGCAATGTCAGTCTTGAGGCCATCGATTTCCTTGGCGGAAAGCGTGAACCAGTTGGCATACTGCGAGATCAAAGCACGCAGCTGCTGTTCCAGTTCCTCCTTCTTCTGCTCGCTCTCCTTGCCGCCCTGCTCCTTCACATCGATCTGCTTCTTGAGCTGGACGAGGGCATCCACATGAGCTGCCAAAAGGGCCAGGCGGGACATGAAGTTCTGCAACTCGTTTTGAGACTTGTCCAGGCTCGTCTGTGCCTCACGTAAATTGGCCGTCAGATGGGTCTTCTCACTCTCCATGCTCTCCAGCTGCTTCTCCAGCTTCTTCAGCTCGTTCAGATGGATCTCTGAGAACAGATCGCACTTGGTGCCGTCGGGTGACTTCAGTTCGGTGCTAAGGTCAGCCTCCAGACGCTTGAGTGCCAGGTTTCCTCCTCGCCATCGGAGTTGTTGCTGGCGTTGTCCTCCATGTTGCTACGTATGCTGTAGGCCAGGTTGCTGATGTGGTACATGGACTCGCGGTTCAGGTGCCCATCCAGCTCCTTTTTCAGCGCATACTTCGCCTCGCGCTCACCCTGCAGAGCCTCAAGCGCCTCCTCCATTTGCTTCTCGGCAATCTTCTTGAGGTTCCCCAGCTCATCGACCTGTTGATTCAGAATCTCAACTTCCTCGGTGAGGCGACGAATCTCATGTTTGGCACCTTCAAATTCCACCTGGAAAATGGTAAAAATGTTAACTCAAAGACCTGGATTGGGATGGATTCTATCCTGACTAACCTGAGAGCTGCGCAGGTTAGAGACCTGCTTTTGCAGCGATATGTTTTCCTCCTCCAGCTCCGAATACTCGCTCAGCATGCGCGTCTCTCGGAACTTCAGGTCCTTCAGCTCGGACTTGAGACGCAGTCGCTCCGCCTCGTTGTCGCTCTTGTCCCGGCCAAAGTCTGAGTTCTCCTGGAGCATTCTGTCGCGCTCGTTGCGCACCCGCTCCAGCTCATGGCGCAGCTGCTTGATCTCATTTTCCAGATCAAAGATCTGCAAATTGAGAGATGTCTCCCTGGCAGCGGACTCATTTAACAGGGCGTCCTCCTGTTCGATGCCCGTCTTGTTGGTCACCTTCTGTGAGGTCTGGAACTTGGTCAGCGCCTGTAATAATCAAACGATACAGAACGTAAAGCACGTGTCAGATGAGGGGCGTGGGAGAAGAGTGCGCTGGGCCAAAGCAAAGTAATCATAAAAGTTTCCTGCCTGCCCACCGCGAATGCCAGCGACTTTATTGCAGCCATTTGCATGTCCCACACAATCACTGGGGAGGGAATCTGGAGGATTGGAGTGGATTGGCACAGGAGGGGCGTTGGCCACTTGGGAGCTCTTCTGCCGCCGGCCTGGTCTGATGCTGATGACGCCCCCTGCCTTTCACTGGCTTTTTATACCCTTGCAGGGTATTATCATTTTAGTCATGAGGTATGACACACAGTAAAGAAGTAATATTCGACCATATAAAGATATATATTCTTGATCAGTATCAACATCAGCATTTTCGGCATTTCTGCCTATTTCTAGAGATACTAATAAATTATTTATATATTTAATTTTCGTTATATTTTTTAAAATAATATATAAACAAATAATGGGTAACCATTTTAATTATTAATAATCAACTAATTGCTTATTTACAATTTGCATATTACGTATAAGTGATTTTATATTTTAGTCAAAAGCATACAATTAAGTAAAATAGTAATTTTTATCATAAAAGTTTATATATTATTATATCCCTATAGCTAAATTTTTTTCCACTCGCCCTTCCCTCTCTCTCTACTACTCTCCATTTCTCTAGCGCTCTGTGCGTTTCTCTAGGCATGCCTCTTTCGCTCGCTCTTTCTCTGCTAGCTCTAGAGATAGCAAGAGTTACTCTCTCGCTCCCACTTTCTCTGTTCTCTTCACTGGAGAGTATAAATACAGGCGCTGCTGGCCCGCGCGCCTCAGTCTGTCCGGGGCCCCCACCTGTTAACATCTAGAGTGATAGTGATTGTGATTAGTGATTCGACCCCAAAAATATGACGTGGCCTATGCAATACATCTGGATAACCAGGAGGATGATCAACTGATGATGATACCAGGGTAACCGTGTGTCCTCTACTGAGGTAAGTCTAACCATGACAATTATATCATATATATAGATTGTATAGGAGAGATCAGCTGTGCTAGATATGCATTTATTTACCAATTAACTTCCTTATTGCATGGATTCATTTTGTATTTAGGATATCTAATACGTATGCTTAGATTAACAGCCTAACTTAATTATAAATTATTCACCAAATGATTTCTTACCTTTAGTTTCAAAACTACATTTTTATAGATTAATTAAGTATTATAATTCAGTCAGAAGCTTAAAATGCAGTGAAGGAGTCATTTCTGGCCCATAAAGTATATATATTCTTGATCAGCATCAACAGCTAAGTCGATCTGTCATTTCCGTGCAAATTAAATTTTCGAAATTTGTTTAAAATTTTCAAAAATTTTTTTTTTTTAAATGTTAAATTGAGTAATTGAAGTAAGCTTGGCACAATTATCATTCTGAATCCACCTGTAATTATTTATCAGTCCAGTGGGGAAAAATGCATCACGGGCAGCAATGGGCGGGCGAAAGGAGACTCGGACTCGGACTCGTTGGTCTGCAATTATTGGATTTTGTTAATTGCGACTGGCTTTCATTCCTGACAGTGTTGGAAATCGCATTAAAGACGCAAGAGAGCACATAAAGGTTAACGGTGGCCAGGGACACGCCCAGGATTAAAAGCAGGAGCGCAAAGGTAAACACGAATGTGGGATGTTTATGGGGCCAGGCCAAGCCCTTAACTGGGCGCTGGAGACCGACCACGACCACATGGTGGTCATCCAGTGGGAGTGTAGCCGCCAGTGGAAATGGAAAGGTAGAGCAGGGTTAAATGTATGGCTCATATATTTAATCCTGTGGCGGCTTTAATTGAAATCTCAACCCCTAACGTCTCCGTCATCGCTCGTCAGGCATATTTTGAATGGGGGCCATTTGGAGTACGTGCTTCACGAGTGCCACGCTGACGATGATGATCATCATCATCGTAATCGTCATAAAAACTGTGCCTCAAACAAAATTCTCAAGTGGTAGCAAGTGGAATGACCACGTTTCAGGGATTTGGTAAAACGGAAACTGCATCAAGTTCTAGGAGAAACTTTCCTCCTTTTGGCGGTTCTCCCCTAAAAGCCATGTAATTAGCATTGCCTCCTTAACCCCTTTTATTTTGCCAACCTCCTCTACTCCCCCCTCAACCAACACTCTTTTCATTCCCAGCTTGGTTTTTCTGGCCATATAATTATCGCTGAGCTACGTCAGCCCCTGATGTACTTGTTGTTTTTTGACAATCCCACACCCACAACACAAACCCAGAAGCTTCTACACATCTCTCTTCCTACCTACTTTAAGCCAAGTGCATTTCGTTAATTAGTGTAATCCGAAGAAGAGGAGGGAGGAGGCGGAGGCGGAGGCGGTGGCGGAGAAAGCAAACAAAAGGCCAAGGCGGATCCAAAGAGTCTCGGATGGAATTTCAGTTGCCTAAAGCTGTCACACATTCATGGAACTAAATTGCAAGGCGCCTCTTAAATGAGACTCAACTAGACAACGACCTACAAGAAGATAAATTAAGGAAGTCGAAAGTTTAATACACTTATTTTTACAGGATATACTTTGTTCAATCGGAGGTGTTACAGAAATCATCAGGGTACTAAAATCCCTCAAAAGGTCTTTTAAAAAATGTAGTAAATTATTTTACATACCAATTTTAGTCTATATATTAAAAGGCATCATCTATATAAAATATATTACAATTTCTGCTTAATCCCAAATAATCTTTATAGAGTTTATATTAGCATCCGTTGTAAACTTTAAACTTAAACTATAATACCCACTGAGGGTAGGGACAGCTTTAGAGATACAAAGAAAATGTTTTCCTGTCCCCGGTTAGTGGAAGATAATTATCAAAGGCTCTGGCAATGCAGGCGGTTTATAAAAGCATTCCTTAGCTTGATGACATTACCAAAGATATGACATTACCATTAGATTTCAGTTTTACTTAATAAAAATGGTTTAATAAAAACTTGTGCAGTCAATCAACAATCATATAATTCTACCTAAATGTGAAGTCATGTCAGTATTTAGTAATAAATAATGCTATCCAATTAGTTCAACTGTAAACACACCTTTTTAATCAAAATTACTTTCTCAAAAGAACATAATAGAATAACCACGTTTTTTGTCACAGTGAACGCCTTTATTTAGTGACGCCATCGAGCGGGCAACAGGCCGCAAACAAATGACGGCATAAACTTTATGCAAATTAGAAAAGATTTTTAATTAACTCGAGCAAATATTAGCACGGTTCACAAGGGCCAGACAAGAGCAGAGCAAAGCCACAGCCACTACTATGTACTTGGTTGGTGGCATAGGCCAGGCGCCGCACCGGGTCTGAAGCACTGCCTCTGCCCCTTAATGATAACCGCTCCCATCCTTCCTACCCCCACTTTATATCTGCTGGATTGTTTCACAATCCATGCCATGGCTGGGATTAGAATGCGAGAGATGCCATCTAAATGGTCTAAACACTATGAGAAAGGGGGACGATGTGGGGTAGGTGCATTAGGGCACAGAGAGAAATAGTTTACTCACACCAAATGAAATTTCTTTCAACCAGAAACTTAAATTGTTAATATAAAACATCTCAAATGATATATACTAAATGCGATTAATTAGTATACCATGTTATGTACGTTTTACATCATTTTTCTAGGTGTAGGAACAGATATGGAGGTGGTACTTCCCCGGACCAGCAGCTGTAGCAGCTGTTGCCATCAGCTATCAGCTAGCCGGATGACTGCAATGAAACTCCTCCTGACCGAGGTGGACCACTAAAAATAGAGCAGATTGCCCACATTATGACGGCGATGAGCAGAATTTTGGAGTGCACACACCAATGTCTCTGAGTGTGTGTGTGTTTGAGTTTGGGGCACTTAGGTGGCCAAACAGCAGCATAAACAAGGGGCGACTATAACGATTTCCTCCTGGTCAGAGAGGAGTTGGGATTGGGTGGTTCAGTGGGTTTGGAATTGGTATGGAGAGTGTGGGTTTGTCTACTCCCAAACGTTGATAAAGTATGCCATGAATGGCTGAACAGATTGCACAGGGCGACACCACGCCCAGTTCGTTAACTGCTCCTCCTTCTTCCCGGTTCCAGTCCCAGTCCCAGTCCCAGCTTCATTCTCTTGGAACGCATGGAAATTTAAATACAAAACCGCCTGCAAATGCAACAATAAACAAATACACACGGGGCAAAATATGGATTGAAAAATCAATGGAAACAAAACAAGGAAACTAACTTCGGGAAGCTCAAGTTAATATACTCATGCAGCTTGCTAAATAATTATAAGACTGAATCGGATCGATCGATCATAACTAAGCTTAGAATATTGACATTTCTTGAAACGATATTTATAGACATTTTTAAATGACAATTTTTGCGACAAATCAAAGCTTCACAAACTCATAACTAAGCCAAACAAATTATTTTGATTCGGTAGCAGTCCTATGTTACTTTTTGCTAGGTTAATAAATCTGCATACTCAATTTAAAATTTAAACAAATTTTTGCAAGGATATAAAAATGTGACTCCAAAGTGCATTAGAAATTCTATAAAGAATTCCCTTTGATTCTAAATATATTCTTTCAGTGCACGCTTATTGTAGGCCCTGCAATTTTTAACCCACACACGATAATAAGAGCCAGAGAACCTGGGAATATGGGGGAAAATGGGAAATGGAAAATGGAGAATCGTCGCATTTGTGGCCATCATGTCAATGCTCGAGCTTGACACTCTCTCTTTCTCTCTGTGAATTTGAAATGTCGCCAAAAACGACAAAGGAAAACGACAATCCGAAAAGCGACTAAAACTGCAGCCGGAAAATTGCAAAGAACCACCGAGAGTGTGTGCGAATGTGCGTTGACGGTGTGGGAATTTTTTGTTTTTTATTTGAGCTGACACAAAAGAACTCAAATTACGCTCTCAACGAAATGCGAATTCGTGAAAAATATGCCAAATGCAGGAACATAA